AGGAAGCTGCAAGCGGAATTCTCGGACCTGCTGAGTGAGGAGGTGATCAGCAAGGCGACGGGGGGGACGATTCACGATATGAAAGACATAGGTGAGGCCGAAGTAGCGAGCTGGGGGCAGGTGGATCTGCTGATGGCAGGGTGGGAATGCCAAGGGGTGTCTTGGGCAGGCAGGGGCAAGGGAGGAGAAGATCATAGGGCGGGGCTGCTGGAGGATCTGTTCCGAATTATGGAGTGGCTGCAGGAGAGGCAGGGCAGGGTGGTATACTTGCTAGAGAACCTGGACCTGGAGGGGGATAGCAGAGAGCCAATCCGACTGGTGAGGGACAGGATCAGGGGACAACTGGGAGAAGGGGTGAGCTGTGATGTGGCCAGAATGGGGTCCTACGCGCACCGGCTCAGAATGTACTGGCAGAATGTGGTCCCTGCCAAGCAACTGCAGGCAGAGATGGAGGGGGTAAGGCGAGCAGCAGAAAGGAAGGTGAAGGATATCCTGGAACTAGGGCGGACCCCAGCACCAGTGTATCACAAGAGCTACAGCAGGCACAAGCAGTGTAACCAAGTGGGGCAGGAGAGGAGGGCTCTGCCCACGCTGGTGGCGTATGTCGGGGCAGCAGGGTACAAGTGGGAAGCAGGGAAGCCGGGGCCAGGAATGGTGTATGACCACAAGAAGGGGAGATGGGAGGAGCCCACGGCACTGGAGCGGGAGCTGGCTATGGGATACGGGGAAGACGCAACAGCAGCGCCTGGGGCAAGTGAAGCGGACAGGAGGAGGGCTCTGGGGAATACAATGGATGGCCACGTGATGAGGTGGCTGATTCAGCGGATGTGGCGGGAGACGGTCGTGAGCTGGGGGCAGGCGGAAGAGAGAGGAAGGATGGAGGCGGAACCACGGGGTGCATGGAGCTGCCAAGAGAAGGAGGAGGGGAGCTGGATGGTGGGGGAAGGGATGAGCAAGGAGGGAAAGGAGGCCATGCAGAAGCTGCTCGCCAGGCACAGGAAGTGTTTTGCCTTCACCATGCAGGAACTGGGAAGGTGCAAGGTGAAGGAGATGGAGCTGAAGCTGAGCAGCACAGAACCAGTGTTCCAGTGCAGGAGGAAGATGCCGCCTGGGGATGAGGAGACCTGCAAGGAGAAGATCAAGAAGCTGCTGGAAGCAGGACTGATTAGGAGATCAGAGTCCGAGTATGCCACACCCATAGTGGTGGCAGCCAGGAGAGACCTGACAGGGGAGATGCTGAGCAGGAGAATGTGTGGAGACTACAGGGCACTCAACAAAATCACCGTAGCAGACAGGTACCCGATGCCGATGGCGGAGGAGATCTTTGACAAATTGGCAGAGGGGGTGTTCTTCACTACTCTGGACCTGCGGCAGGGGATCAACCAGATCAAAATCAGAAAGGAGGACGTTAGGAAGACGGCCTTTCATGGGCCGGACGGGCTGTAGGAGTGGTTGTACATGCCGTTTGGAGTGAGGAACGCATCAGCAGTATTCCGGAGGGTCATGGACAGCGTGCTGCGTGGAGTGGAGTGCGCAGCCTGCTATATTGATGATGTGGTAATCTTCAGCACCACAGAGCAGCAGCACCTGCAGGATGTGGAGCGGACCCTAGCGGCGATTGAAGCGGCGGGACTCACCTGCCATCCGAAGAAGTGCAGATGGGGGGAACAGACGGTGCAGTACCTAGGGTATGAGGTGAAAGGGGGACAGATGGGGATCCAACAGGCCAAGGTGGAAGTCCTGGACAGACTGAGGGAGCCGAGGGACAAGTCAGGGCTGAGAGAAGTGCTGGGCTCCTTGAGCTACTACAGGCGGTTTGTGCCCAACTTCAGCAAGCGAGCAGCGGTGTTGAATGTGCTATTGCGGGAGGATCAGGCGTGGGAGTGGGGGGAAGCACAGAAAGGGGCGCTGCAGGACCTGATGGCAGCAGTGAAGACCGCGACGGTGCTCAAGCTGCCCGCCGCTGATCAGCCGTTCACGCTTTACACCGATTGGAGCAGCCAAGGGATGGGGGGGATTCTCTGCCAGGAGGTAGAAAGAGAGGAGAAGGTAGTGGCATATGCGAGCCCGAGCTGCAACTCGGCAGAGGCGCAGTACAGCTCCTACATCGGAGCCGTATGGGCAGTAGGGCATTTCAGGGTGTATCTGCAGGGGAGGGAATTCACCTTAGTAACAGACCACCAACCCCTGACGTGGCTGATGTCAACCCCGGGACTGACGGGCAGGAATGCAAGATGGGCGATGAAGCTGCAAGAGTATGACTTCAAGATCAGGCATAGGCCAGGAAAGACACTGCAACACGTAGATGGCCTCTCACGGAACCCCCCACCGCTTGAGCCCACTGTAACCTTGACACTGCTGGCCAGATTAGTGGAGCAGAACAGGGCCAAGGAGGGGAAGGGGCCAGCAGACATATGGGAGGACGGGCCGGCCCTGCGATGGGTAAAGGGAGAGACGGGAGAGGATGAAGCGCTACCGGCACGGGTAAGGGCAAGGGGCCAGCACTACCGGTGGTACCAGCAGCAGTTGCAGGTGCAGACAGAGGACGGATGGAAGCTGGTGCCGGCTCCAAGTGAGAGAGAAGCAGTGATTAAGAAAGTCCACACCAAGCTAGGGCACTTTGAGCACGAGAGGACAGTGCAGCTGTTGAAGATAGGGTGGTGGTGGGAGGGGATGCGAAGGCAAGTAAAGGGGTGGGTGGAGGGCTGTGAGGCATGCCAAAGGAGCAGGGCAAACCTCACCCAAGCCAAGGCGGAGTTGCAGTCGCTGCCCATCCGAGGCCTCGGCTTCCGATGGTCCTTAGACCTGGCGGGGGAGCTGCCACTGAGCCATGGGGGGAAGCAGTACATAGTGCTCATGGTCGAACATGTGAGCAAGTGGCTGGAGGTAAGAGCGATCCCGAGCAAGAGCTCCAGACACGTGGCAGCAGCGTTCAAGGAGCAAGTGTTGTGCAGGTTCGGGGCATGTGCAGAGGTCCTAACAGATCAAGGGACAGAGTTCCAGGGGGAGTTTAAGGGGCTGCTGGAGGAGACTGGGATCACCCACAGGCGCACTTCGCGGTACCACCCACAGAGCGATGGGCTGACTGAGCGACTGGTCCAGACCTTGAAGTAGGGACTGCGAGCGTACGGGGAAAAGAGGAAGCGGGACTGGGACGAGGAGCTGCATTGGATAGCAGCACGGTACAGGTTTGGGAAGCAGGCGGCGCTGAGAGATCACTCCCCTTATAGTCTCCTATCTGGGTGTGAGCCGCTGCTGCCAGTGGGAGCAACCCGGGTCCTCACAGACACTGTGACTGCAGGGACGATAGAGAACTGGGTGGCGCTGTCCGAGACCAGGGCAAGATACCTACGAGTGATGATGCCAGCGGCATTGGAGAATCTCCACACCGCGCAGCTGCGGGATGCTCGGAGATATGAGCAGAGGCAACAGCAAGGGGCAGGGGGCAGACCCATGAAGGGAGTGAGTCAGGGGCAGGAAGTGTACTTGAAGCGGGCAAAGCAAGACACGCTGGATGTTGGGGTGGGCACGGAGAGGTGGAGGGTGAAGGAGGTCCGTCCCTCAGGGGTGTTGGTTCTGGAAAATGACACAGGGGCACTCCTGAAGGAGCACCAGAGCAACACGGCCATGGTGAGGGGGAGCGAGCCTCACCAAGCGGGTCCTGTGACTCGGGCTCAGGCAGCTAGAGCACGAGCACAGGAGGGGGCAGTGGGTAAGTGAGGCTATGCAACATGGAGAAGGAGGAACAGGAGAGTCTGCAGGAAGAAGAGCAGGTGCAGGGTGAAGAGCAGGTGCAGGGTGAAGAGGAGGTGCATGAAGAAGAGCGGCGGCTGAGAGGAAGAAGGTTCTCCGACACATGCTAGCCTCTCTTGGGGGTGGCGTGCGGGGGCTGGCTCTTGGGCTGGCTCGGATGGCGCTTCTCCCTTCACCTGCTCCTTCCTTCCTTGCTCTCGCCTGCCATCTCTTCCCCCGCTTCTCAGCCCCATCTCCTCTCTCCCCCTCCATGCCATGAGAGCACACTCCACGTCCTGCTCCACCTCCTCTCCCCCCCCTTCTCCCGCGTACATTCCTACCTCCGCCTCCCCCTTCAGCCCTGTTGCCCTCAGCTGTGCTTGCAACCTGTTAATCTGCCGCTGCAGTTCCTCTGGATGCCTCCTGCTCCCCCCTTCCCTCTGGTAGCAATCCTTCGCCTCATGTCCCTGCCTTTTGCAAATTTCACACCGGGCTGCATCCGGGCATTCCTGCTTCCTATGCCCCGGCTTCCCGCACCCATCACAGTTTTTGCAGTCCCTGCGCAGATGGCCCGGCTGTCCACACCTGTGGCATGTCTTGGTATCCGCCTCGTCCCTCCATTCTCCCTCCTCCTCCCGGTATTATGGCCGCCGCCCACGTTGGCCGCCTACTCTTTGCTGGCCTGGGGAGATATGCCTCGAATTTCCTTTGCGCGAGCTCCACCCTCTCCGCCAGGGCGAATACCTCTTCCAGGCTTGCATCCGCTCCGAGCTCATGCACCCTCATCCTCAGCCCCCCTCCTAAGGCCTCGTCCAAGCCCCCCAGGAACTTGCTGACGAGAAGGCCGCTGTCTGTGCATCTCACGTCCTCAGCCACATTTATCAGCCGGTTGTAGTAGGTCAGCAATGATTCAGTCCGGCCCCTGCTGAATTTCTGGAACTCCCTTATGCGCTCGGCCGTGTGCCCTGGGAATTGCTGCTACAGCCTCTCCACGAATGCCTCGGTGGGGTCCTCGCCGTACCTCCCCGCCCTCCACAGCAGTTCCTCCATCCTCATACAGTAGAGCGTCTCGGCCTCTCCCTCAAGCGTGTTCGGCAGGCTCAGGAAGAAGTCTACTGGATCCGTGTGGTGCCGGTCGCAGCGGTACCGCACATTCCCCACCTGCATGAGGTAGTTCTTGAGGGTCGGTCCTGCACGCTGGTCACCTGAGAATCTGGCGGGCACCTCCACCCGCGGGGCGCCGTTGCTGCCCCCACGCCCCTCTCCCCATGCCTCGCTGGTCCCTTCCTACCGCCTCCTCTCTGTTCCCCTCGCCCGTGCCCTCTGCATGCCCTCTCCGGCTTCCCGCGCCCGCTCCGTCCCTTGCGCCAGAGTTCCGCCTTCCGTTCTGCTCTCTTGGCGACTTCCGCCTGCCTCGTACCGCCTCTCCCTCGATCCTCCTCGCCCCTCTGTCCATCCCCACTGCACCAACGGCGGTCCGTGCACCTCCCGCTCCTCTCATCTGCTCATCTCGCGTCACGGCCGCCTCTCTGGCGATGGTGAACAGGCGTCCAAGTGCTCCCTCCAAGTGCGCGGCTGACGCCGCGGTGACTGCTCCCCCGCGTACTTCTCCCTGCGTGTGTGTTGTCCGTCCGGCGAGCGGGACCAGCTGCTGTCTCTCCGCTCCCTCTGCCTAGTCCGGCCTGGCGAGCGCATGGTGCTGCTGCGTCTCCCTTGCTGCTGACCGTGCCGCTTCGGCGACGCTGTTTCCGCCTCTCGCCCCCTCTCACCGTGCGGCTGCTACCGTCCTGCCGAATGCGCATCGACGCCGCTCCACTCTCCTTGCTCCTGGCGCTCGCCGCGCGGGCGGAACTCGCCCACACGCCCTCCCCCGAGGCGCCGCTCCCTCTCCGCCGAGCGGGACCGCTCCTTCTTCCCCTTGCCGCGCGGATTCGGCGCCTGCCATGCTCGATGGCTCATCTCTGGCCCGCCCAGCTCCTGCCGTCAGGAGCTCTCCGTGCGCCGCCCTTCCTCGTGGGGATCGTCTCGACCACGCGATCCCGGCGGCGGGGCCTCTAATTACGCGACCGCCACCGGGCTCGTCTCCGCTTGCGCCTCTTGTCGGCTCGGTTTCCGCACCGCCCGTTCCTACTGTTCGCGCCTCATTCGCCACTTCTATCCTTGCCTCCTTGTCTGACCGTCCCGATCCTTCCTCCTCGTCCTCCGCGCCCTGCTCCGGCGTCTCTTCTTGAACTGCATTGCGCGGCGAGTTCTCTCCGCGAGCGACGCTACCGCCGCTCCCTCCTTGTCCGCGAGACCGCTCGCCGAACGCCAACCACCGCCCTCTCTCGTCGTCCGCGCTCCTCCGGGGAGCGGAACACCCTTCCGCCGCGGTGGTTTCCGCCCTCCGCGCCAGGTCCGCGTCCACTCTCCTGGAGCCACGCATTTCGATCCGCGCGTTCGGCGTGTCCTTCGTCATTCCCTCGCGTATCTGCTACTTGACCGTCCCTCACAGCAGGGACCAGATCGGCGCGGAAGGCGGGACGGCGCGGCGATCGCTCCATGGATCGCCCACGCTCTCGTGACGGCTCTCGGCGCTCCAGCTCCTCCTCCCATCGGCTATACGCCCTACCCCAGCGCAGCTCGTATCGATCCATCTCGTTCGTGCTCGGAAGTTACAGTCCTAGCCCCCGTGTCCCTTTCTCGTTGTTATGAAAGAAGCTGGTCTCTCACCCCGCAGGTTCCCTCTTAGTGTGCTGTCGTGTGCTAGAGCCTGAGACAATCAAATTCACTAGTGTAAGACAATAACAACAAGAAAGCATCGATGGGTTGGAGGTGAGTGACCTTACCCCACCCCTGGCTGCACATTTCCAAATGTGCAGCTCGGGGTTGGGGTTCATTGGTTTCACATTTCGCCCTACGAAGTCTTTCCCCCTTCTTATCTCAACCGCTCTTATCCTGTTTCCCCCCTTCTACAACCTCGCTCCTAACAGTAACTTCGCTACATCCTACACCTATTACTTCTATTCTCATTCCTATCTCATCTTCTTATGGACTTAGTATGACGCCCACACTTTACCATCATTCTCCTGTTATTGCATATGCATTAAGTGCATATGCGGTGACAGTGCGTGCGGAGCCTGGGGCTACTGAGCTTGGGGTTGCTGCGTCTGGGGGTGCTGAGCCTGGGGGTGCTACGACTGGGGGTGTGGAGCCTGAGGGTGCTGGGCCTGCTCGTGTGGAGTCTGGCGGTACTGGGGCTGGAGGTCCTTCGGGTGCTTCGATTCGGCGGGAGCTACCCTCTCCCCATGAGTTGCGAGAGTGGTTTGCTCGGCGCTGGAGCCGTGCTGCTGGAGCTGGACGTGCTGCTGGAGCTGGAGGTTCTGCTGCTGCTGAGGGTGTTGGTGCCACGTGTCCCAGAGGTGCTCGTACTGGAGGTACTGGAGCTGGTGGGACTGGGGGTACTCCTTGTAGTGGAGCTGCTGGAGGTGCTGGAGCTGGCGGTGCTGCTAGGGTAGGTGCTACTGGAGCTACTGGAGTTGGAGCTGTTGAGTCTTCCGGTGGTCCTGCTCGAGCTGGAGCTGCTGGGGGCGTTGGCGCTGTAGGTGCTGCTGGCGCTAGTGCTTCTGGGGGTGCTGGAATTGGCGCTGCTGGAGCTGGGGGTGCTACTGGCGCAGGTGCTGCCGCTGGGGGTGCTGGTGCTGTACCTGCTGGTTCTGGAGGCGCTGCACGGCCGCGGCCGTACTTTGTTCTGCTCCTTGAGCAGGTTCTTGGCCCTCCGCCCTCTACTGGTCCCGCTCCTTCCTTAGAGCAGTACGTCGGGCATGGGGCTCGTGCTTGGAGGGCGGCGTTCAATGGTCCTCACTGGTCACGCTGACGCTTCTTGGGCTGAGGATCAGGCTACGCAGCGGTCGTCACAGGGTTACACCTTCAGCCTTGGTTCCGGCTCTGTTTCGTGGCGGTCTACCCGCTCGTCTTTTGTTCTCGGCTCTAGCTGTGAGGCTGAGATCTACGCAGGGGCCATGGCTGCACAGGAGTTACGCTGGCTCACCTATCTGCTGACCGACGTGGGAGAGCCGCCTCGTTCTCCTCCAGTTCTGTACGTAGACAACAAGGCCATGCTGGCCTTGTGTTGGAAGCACACACTGGAGCACAGAATGAAGCACATTGCTCTTCGCTACTTCCTTGCTCGTGAGCTGCAGCAGCGTGGTCAGCTGCGCCTTGCTTACGTGGCCTCTAGGGCCAACACCGCTGATATCTTTACCAAGGCGCTTCAGCCTTGTGATCATCAGCGCTTTTGTACGATGCTAGGTCTTGTGCCTACTTGGCCTCACTTGCTCACTTCTTGACCTTGCTTGTACTGTTATCTATTTATACCTGCACTTGCTTGTTTACCTTTATATATAATCCTGCATGTGAACTGGCCTTGTGGCCTTTTGACTTGTGCTCAGAATATGTGGTGACGTTGTGATCCACCCTGAGCTTGCCTTGCTTGACTGGTCTTGTGACCCCTTGTTCTCCCCCACTTTGCCTATGGGGGTGTGTCAAACATTTATGCTATAGTCTTTCTAGGCTGTAGTGGGGAAGACAGTATGGGGTACAGTTTTCTAGGGTTACATATTTGTACCCAACTCATTTCCTAGTCCATCATTCCTCATTCTCTTCACAAAGAAAGCCGTACAGTGCAAGTGGGTGCTGAGGATCAAGACCGATTACAAGGGGCAGGTCAACATCTACAAGAGTAGGCTGGTGGCTAAGGGGTTTATGCAGAAGTAGAAGCAGGACTTTACCAAGATCTTTGCTCCCACTGCCAGACCCCCTACCCTCCATGTCTTGTTAGTGGGAAATTCATCATTCACATGGATTTATCAACAACATTTCTCAATGGGATTTTAGAGGAGGATGTGTACATGACGCAGTCGCTTGGGTATGAGGATGGTACGTGCAGGGTGTGCATATTTGGCTTGAAGCAGGCACCACGCTGCTGGTACCAAAAGTTAGCAGCTGTTTTAGAGGAGATAAGATTCAAGACCAGCAGCTGTGATGAGAGCCTCTTTCTCAAGGGGGAGGGGGGGAGGCTGGTGCTGTTTCTGGTCTACGTGGACGGCATTCTTCTCTTCATCAACCGCATGAAAGAGATTTGGAAAGTGCAGCAGCAGCTAATGGAGAACTTCAAGTGCAAGAACCTTGGGGAGGTAAAGTATTACCTGAGGATGCACGTGGAGAGGGATCTGGATCACAGATGGTTGAAGCTGCACCAGGAGAAGTTCATCAAAGAGTTGGGGGAGAAGTATGGGGTTAAGAATGAGCGCAAGGTTGCAACCCCCCTGCCAGCAAAGTTTAAGCTTGTGAAGGCTGCAAAGGATGAAGGGGTTGAAGCCGAGAAGCAGCAGCAATTTCAGTCCTTGGCGGGCAGCCTCTTGTATGCAGCGGTTCACTCAAGGCCCGATATCTCTTTCTCAGTTGGGCAGCTAGCTAGGGTGGTGCAGAATCCATCAGAGGAGCAGGTGGATGCAGCGGAGCGCGTGGTGAAGTATTTGAACTCTCACCCAAGCATTGGAGTTCAATATTCCGCATCTGCATAGGTGAAGCAGAATGGGGTTGATGTGATGAAAGAGAAGGGGGAGAGGCTTGGAGAAGGCAAGCTTTTTCTCACTTGCTTTACCGATGCAACTTGGGCTTCTGAGAAGGGGGATTCCTCATCTGTGGGAGGATACATCTGCGTAGTTGGGGGAGGACCTGTTAGTTGGAGGTCCAAGAAGCAGACAAAGACGGCACTCTCTTCCGTAGAATCAGAGTACATGGCAATGTTCCATGGGGTGAAGGAGGTGATTTGGCTGAGGAGGCTATTAGAGGAGATTGGTCAGGAGCAAAAGGTTGTTACGCCGCTGTTTTGTGATAGCCAGGAACTCTGTGCTTCATGAGCTGAACAAGCACATGCGTATCAAATGACACTGGCTGCGTAAGGAGGTGAAGAGGGGGACGGTGAATCCGAGCTACATCAAGACTCACCAGCAGCCAGCAGACTTCCTCACCAAGAGGCTTGCGGATGAGCCTCATTGGCGTTGTGTGCGAATGAGTGGGATGAGCATGAACTAGTGTGGAATGATGAAAATGCAGCTGGCAGGCTGAGGGGGAGTGTGTTGGGTGCGAATTCACTTTGCACGACATCCTGCCGTCCGTTTGTACAAGTATGTGTGTGCGAATGCATTTGCGTGTGAATGGTGTGTTCGTGTGTTTGTTTGTTTTCGCAATTTTCGCTTGAAGCATTTGCATGTACTCGCACAATGTGTGCTTCGGCACAACATTGTACGCGCTTTGAACAGCGCAAGCAGAAAAGACGAGCTCGCAAAGGAACCTAAGATGTAAGCTTTGCAGTTCAGTTTAATTGATTGCGCGGATTCAGTTCTTTACATCGTGCTGCGGTTAATGAGGCACATGCAATGAGAAGTTCTTTACATCTTGGAAAACGTGGACATGGAAGGGGATCTGAGGGAACAGATCCACGTGGCACAGGAGGAAGTGACGGCAGTCTTAGGCCCGGGCGTCGTGGTGGATGGGGCGCAAACGGGAAGCAGGACACACCGGGTGTGCCGTTACTGGACGAATGGGGTGTCAGATGCGGCACTACAGTATATGTCAAGAATGAGGAATGAATGAACTAGCAAGCAGGTGTGTACAAGTAGGAAAACCTAGAAGTGTGGAACCCCATATTGTCTACCCCACTACAGCCTACACAGACTAAAACATAAGAGTTTGACACACCCCCATAGGCAAAGTGGGGGAGAACAAGAGGTCAGAAGATCAGTCTAGCAAAGCAAAGCAAGCTCAGGGTGGATCACAACGTCACCACACAGTCCGAGCACAAGAGCAAGGCCATAAGGCCAGTTCACATGCAATATCATATACATAGGTAAACAAGCAAGTGCAGCTATAGAAAGATCACAATACAAGCAAGGTCAAGAAGTGAGCAAGTGAGGCCAAGTAGGCACAAGACCTAGCATCGTACAAAAGCGCTGATGATCACAAGGCGGAAGTGCCTTGGTGAAGATATCAGCAATGTTGGCCTCAGAGGCCAC